CGCAAAGAGTTATAAGAATATTTAATGTATTTTATTTGTTTGACTAATTATATAGTGGCATGAATAATTTTAATTTATTTATAACTAAGCGTATTATTTATTCATCTGCTGTTGTTTTTACAAAAGTGAACGTAATTTTAGGAATTAGTGGAAAGCATTTTTTTTTAATGTCTATTTTGTTTATCTTTAACTTGTTGCTCATTATCGCCGATTCTTTTTTTCTATTATTATTATTATTATTATTAATATTAGTTATATTCAAAGTTGCTTTTATAACATTTAGTATGAATTTTAATTCTTTACATTTTTTTTATCTTTTATTTGCAAAGTAACGTAATTTCAATTTTATTGTAAATGCTTTCCCAGTTATAAAGTTATTTTGTTTCGTTTTTACTCCTAGTCAATTTGTTCTATTTTTATCGTTTAATTTTTTTAAGCAACAACAACAATAATAATAATATTTTCTCTTACACTTTTATAATAATATATATATATATATATATATATATATATATATATATATATATATATATATATATATATATACACACACAAACACATACACATATATAAAAACAACAATATTTATAATAATAAATATAATATATTCTAATAATAATCTTATATTTTTTATTTTATTTTATTAATATTATTTAATATATATATATATATATATATATATATATATCGACACATTTAATTTCGAACTGTTTACTCCGACATCAAAAAAAATCTTTTTATGTGTATAGGGGTCATTGGTTGATGTAGTACCTTTGTTGCTTATCTGCTGTTCCTTATTTTTAAAGGTTACGAGCAGCACTGGTCTTCGCTCATCCTCTAAATCTATCACGTATATATATATATATATATATATATATATGAAATATATATCTTTCATACTGTCGGATCTATATCCATATATTTGCTTACATATATATATATATATATATATATATATATATATATATATATATAATGTATATAATGTCCTGGGTATGACGATGAACTACATCCGGCAGCAAGTCTTCTCATCGGGACATTGGAGGATTTGTCGAGCGTGGAACCACCTTTTAATTGCTGTTGTTCCCAGGTCCGCCCTGACCCAGGGTGGTAGCACTTGTTAGGGTACCATCTATGGGCAAATAGTGTTTTGTCTACCAGGGCTGACCAATCTCTTTTAGTGTTATAGAACACAATTGGTCTAGGAGATGGAAAACTCTTCCACGAAAAACCTGAGGTATATTGTCTGCTCGTCTGTATATATATATATATATATATATATATATATATATATATATATATATATATATACAGCTGCTCTGTGATGTAAGCTTTCGGCTAACATGAGCCATCTACAGAGTGGTTATATATATATATATATATATATATATATTCGTATCATGTTTATTTGCACCGACTGAGTGTATCAATAGTCCCGAAGAGTGTGGATGGTTCTGCACAAGCCTTCACCACTTTAATCAAATCACTTGTGTGGGTTTTCTAACGGTTTACCTTGATTCGTTTTTATCCACACAGTTCACTTGCAAGGTCCGCTGGTGAGAGAATAAAGGCGACGGGGTCAGGTAAAAAGTATTA